CTTTTTGGAGGGGACAAACATCCAAACTATAGCAGGCCCTCATGATGTCCTGATTGTCCTCATGATGGTATATTGTCCTTATAAGAAGAGACACCAGAGAATTTGCACACACTCTCTCACAGCTGTCTATGAGCCAGGACTAGCCTTCACCAGAGACTGACCATGCCTGGCACCTTGGTCAGTTTCTGTTGTTTAAGCTTCCCAGTCAATGACATTTTGTTATGGTAGCCTGAGCTACAACATCTTTCTTGAAAATCACCAATGATTTCTTAACTGAAAAATCTAGTAACCTTTTCTTGTTAACTGGTTCTTTTGTCTAGAATTTGACCTTAAGTCTTCCTTCCTTCCTGACGTGCTCTTCTTAAAACCCTAGCACCCTGCAGATTCTGCATCTTCTCTTCTTTCCCAACATCCATCCTCAGACTAGGCTCCTAACTTGAGCTCTCTCCCCTGTTCCTTTCACCTTGAATTGCAGCAGCCCCAAGGCACTGACCCCTCTTATCTCTGTGATCTCAGCATTGACACTTAACCCTTCTGCTTCCTCATCTGCAAAATGCCCCTCATTTGGAAACAGAGATAATATCCAAAGTCTCTATCATAATGCAGTCTGACCTCTAAGCTTTCAGGCCTGCACTGTGAGCTTGGTCTTTCTCCTGTCTTTGGACCCTTACTTCCACCTGTGTACTGCATCTGTTCATCTTCATGTTGCTGCATTTCAAACACTATAACCAAAACTCCTTTGTCTTCCCTGCAAAACATGTTGTTTTGATTAATTTACAGCCTCAAAAGTAAAATATAATGAAATAAAGATAAAACCGAGAAAGATAAGCTATATCTCTCTCTTCCCATCTTCCTATGTGGTTATATATCAAACTCGAGTTCAATATTTGGAAACTCTTGAACATGGATCTTATATCAGATCTTGTTGAGACAAGGATGGATTGTTATATCCATAGAAGAGCATTTCAAAATTCAATCTGTTGTTATTCACCAAAAGATTCATAGATGAGTATGACCTTTTTCTGTGCTGTATGAAAAAGTAAGAGGGGGTGGTATTGAAGGAAGAATGAGGTCTTTACTCACATTTCCTGCAATAGATTGTTTCAGAAAATGAAGGGAATGTATTTCCTTCCTAAATCTGAAAAATAAAATAAAATAAAAATTCTTTGTTCTCTAGTCAGCCATTTCAAGACAAGTCTACCTATAATTGTAAGGCAGAATGTGGTTAAACAAAAAACCACCAGGTCAAATAGACTAGGTTAGCTGGCCATAGTTGATGGGCAGCTATCAAGGTAGGTGGATAACGGTCAAATTGTCTTCTCTAGAAATCATTCCAATCCAGCACAAGGCATGAATATGTACCCCCAAAATCGAATAGATATGATGGGGATAGTTAATGCCATGATATTTCGTCAAATGCTGCTGACTCCATGGTACCTCAGCTTGAAGTCTGGAGAGCATGGTAAGAATTGCACTTCTATTGACTTTTCCTTTTCTGATCAAAACATCTACTCCTAGCCAATAATGAGAATCTTTAAAAATATTCAACAATAACATAAAAATATTTTCCTTAGGCCATGACATTACAGTTAACTCTTAAACAATGTGGGGGTTAGGGGTACAGTTCCCCCACACAGTTGAAAATCCATATATAAATTTTGACTCCCCAAAAACTCAACTACCAGTAGCCTACTGTTGACTGGAAGCCTTACCAATAACATAAGCAGTTGATTAACACGTAGACTATTGTCTACATTTATTTTATGCATTCATGACATACTTTTTCTTAATTTTTAAAAATGTTTATAGGCTAAGTGGTTCATCTGTGAGTTTTTTCACATTTTCACAAATCTCAAAAAATTTCAGAAATCTCAAAACTATGTATATTTATCGAGAAAAGTATGTATAGCTAAAAGTGACTATATATACAACCCAAGGAAGTGGACGATAAAGTCATCTTGAGATGCTGTCGCTGCTTTGTCATTAGGCAAACACCCTCACCAGGCTGTGTAGAGCCCCCTCAAAATCACAGTTCGAAATCCTGCCTTTGTAAAACTGCCACGGACCAGCAGAGTGTTTTTGACTTATTCCATTGCTCCTGATGAACCATTCAGTTCTCCTGAATGATAGAGAAGACCCCAGTCACCAGTCTGCTGCACGTACTGCAGTCACAAACTGTCAGTTTACGAGGGGCCTTGAGAAAACTCATTCTGTTCATTTCCCAGACCCAGGTTCCGCCCTCCTTTCAGGAACAATGGCCATGAAAGGTGATGAGAATACAACTGCAAAAGTCATGGGGAGAGACCGCAGGGCTGCATAAAGTTCCTAATATTTAGGCTTGGTTTAATCTTTTTATACCTTGTTCTTTGTGGCACACAATCTTCCCTGGTCTCTTCACAAGGTAGCTTTTCACCTCTAATTCACTCCTATCCACTTTCCTATTTACTTTGTTTGTGTGTATGTTGATTTTGTTCTAGAATACTTACTGTGATTACCAAAGTAAGAACTTAATCAGGGATCAGGAGTGCTTGGCTGAATCCCTTCCTATGGGCCAACAATATAGACTTTCTGCACTTCCTTCCTCCTCATTTTGTCTGTTTCCATGCAAGATCCTAGCCACATTTTTTCCTTCCCCTGAATTCCTAGACTTCCCACATTGTATTTTTATTTCTACCATCTAACCATGATTATTTGCCTCCTCCAGTGCAGTACGTTCTCCTTTTACTCAAAACTGCCTGATCAACAAGTAGCCTGAGTACCTCTCCAGCTTCCTGCTTCCACCCTGTGCCCCTCTGCTTTCAGCTGTAGCAAACCACTCACTCCTCTCCAAGCTCTACATGTTCACAGCTCCTCTGAGCCTTTGCATGCATTCTTCCACCCTCACAACCTAGCTAAAATATACTTGCCTTGAGACTCCTTTTGACTGCTGTTTCACCTAGTTCTTCTCTGGTCACTCCCCTCAGGCAGCCTTAGATGTCTGTCCTATGTCCAACCCCAGTGGGGGTTGTACTGATTGTGAGCTTATTTGTCTCCTGGAAGACAGATCCATCCAGTCTTTACTTTCCTGTCCTTGTTTTTCTGCTCACATTTGTTGATTGGGGATTTTTAGTTTTAGATTCCAAAAGCCTTCTTCCTGAGGTGACATTACCAGTGCAGTGTCGTGCTTCTTCACACTGTGTTCTGACCCCAGTGGGGAATGTTTCTACACTAACAGCTTCCCGCTCCCACCCCTTTCCTGTTCACTCCTTTGTAAAGTTCATCCTTGTAATCCCTAGAAGTAATTCACTACAAAGCAAGAGATTTGGCAGGAGCTATATATTTTGGAACCTGCCAAGCCAGGAGGGTTTAAGGTGGCTATTAAAGATTTTGCAAATGCCGTTTATACCAGAGAAACAACAGCAGAATTTATCACTTGCTTTCTTGGCTGTAGGACACGCTTAGCCTAGCCAAAGCTGCTTAGATGGGCCATGCAACAAAGGTAATTTATTCATCATACACAAAATCTCCCATTAACTAAAATCCAAATGTTAAGTGCTGACTGAAAGGACTGCTGATGTATCTATCAGTACACAATTACTCTCTAAACCAAAAAGGCGACTTAAGAGGACTTTCAAATTTTTTTCTTTCCTAAACCTAATTATTGTTGAGTTTTGCAGATGTCTAATCACTGATTTAGTCATAGAACATTGACCTATATATTTTTTGCCTTCACCCCTCCCTTTCTAATTCATGCTTTGCATAGCTGGGGGCTTTATATCTACTGAAACTCCAGTTTTCTGGGTGACCTTTATTAACAATACCTTATGGGCAGGGGCTCAGCTGAATCCCTTTCCTGGGAGAATTTTGATTTCTCAAGAGCTGTGGGTAGATGTGTCTTCCAATGCCTCTTTTCTAAGCCCAACTGGTTACCACTTACCATCTTGGTCTACCCAGAACCCGAGACCAAAGACTTTCTGGCCCCGTGGTTGTTGATAACATAAATTGAAGGCCAGGCTGAAAAGATTTCTTCTCAGCTTTCTTCACAGACATCCTCCCCCTGGGGCTGAGCAAACACCAGTGGGCTTTCTACCCCCACAGTGAAATCCCTTGAGGATTTCCCTACCGACTCACTTGCAAAATAAATCCTTCAAAGAGGATTAATTTTGCTTTCTCCATGTTTGTGTCTAGTGTACGTGACACAAACAATACTTGTGCTTTGAAGTATGTGTTATAATACTTAGTTTTCTTAACTTGACCATAGTATAATTCAGAGACCAAAGACTAAGGGCTCCATGAAGGGCTGAGAAAGAGGTGGTGTATATGTGCAAATGAAATATGGTTGCATTTAAATGTCTTCCTATTAGGAAAGGCAAACTGAAAGAAATAGACCGTTGAATTGTGTTGTCTTACCTACTGATTCCATTTTTCTCCTCACCCCCATCCTCTCTTCCTATGCCCCAACTTCACCAACTTTTCTTCAGGGAAAGTTAGCCTGGTCTTTCTTGGTCATGCTGAAAGGTCCAGTTTGATCTGCACAGTTGAAGTGGTGGTTTCCCAGTAACTCCAACTCCATCACCTCCCTCTAGCCTCTTCCAAGAAGAATGCCCCCATGGGCCCCTCCAGATGATGGGGCATGCTACTGCTATTCTCCAGACTCCTAATTGTTTTGATTACTAGCCTCAGTGCTAGTAATCTTCATTCTTTTTCACCTCAGAATTCAAGGGAGTGAAAAAATCTAATTTTCTTGGGAAATCTTTGAAGGGGAAGAGTTTCTATAGGCTAAGAGATGACTCTTGTTTGGTTAATGGGTATGAGTGTAGACACAGAAGCAACCTTTCAGCTTCATACACTGACCATAGTTGTGACTGGCTATTAGGCTTGGAAGGAATCCTAGTCCATGTGGCCAGGTGTATAGATCTGTTTTCTCTCTGAATGTCTTATTCTTGTTCCTAAAAGACACATTTTCTAGGGATTTATCTTACATCCTCTGTCAGTGACACATGACTTTCTTTTTGTCTCAGGGAGGAAGATGAGTACTCAGAACTTCGATCAGAACTCAGCCAGAGTCAACATGAGGTCAATGAGGATTCTCGGAGCATGGACCAAGACCAGACTTCTGTTTCCATCCCCGAAAACCAGTCCACCATGGTCACTGCTGACATGGGTGAGTCTGCCTGTCATCACCACCCAGCCAGAGTTTGCTCTCTGGGTTGTAATAGGAATTTTACAAACATGAGTCAACCTGGATTAAAATAGAATTATTTAAAGAGTTTGGCGAGTAGATGAAGGCACATCCATTTCAGTCCCTTACCCACTACTTTCTTGGTCGAAATGGGACTGAGAGCTGAATTAGCTTTCTGCCCTGATATGACTGTGATTTAAGTGTATGTCACTCCTATTTGAAAATTCTGGAAGCAAGATTTAGTTGCAAAGGCTTTTACAGTAGTCCAGGTTACAGTAATATCTGAACTGATGGAGGGGATGGGGTAGGGGCAATACGTTGCAGAGAAGAACCCCAATAGGTGTCAGCAACTGTTAGGATTGGGTAAGGAAGAAGAATCCAAAATAACTCCAACATGTTGTTCCCAGGTTACTAAGAGAATGATCATATTTCTTAGTTAGAAAACTTTATTGAGAAATGAGTTGGGGAATAATCATATTATGTTTGAGGTCGTAGAGATATATCCATGTGGAAATATCTGGTATACTGTATTTTAAACTGCAGGTCATAACCTATTTTTGGATCTTGAATTATATGAATAACCAAGTATTTCAAAAATGAAAGCAAACAGGAAAACAATAGTGACAGTATTATTTCATGAAACTTGTTTGTGACACGTGTGTGTAGGTAGTAAGCTGCTGAATGAAGTGTTGTGACTGTAGTTTGAGGCAAAATGTTGCAAAACCACTGGGCTTGCCTACCAGGATATTTGGAGAGAAATTGAGGTTGAGGGTAGAGGCTTTGAAGTTCTCTGAGCTAAAATGATCCATGTGGTTGGAAAGATATGAAGTCAGAAAAGAGAGGAGCACCATGTCTCAGGAAATGTTCACACGTATACAAGAGATAGACGAGACAGAAGAGTAATATCATGAGTTCTCACAGAACTTAAGATTTCGTTGGGGAAAGAGATTTTAATAAAATCTGGCACATTTACGTTTAATCATAAACCTACAAAAGTGCTAGAGCATTATGGAACACTGTACCACGAGAGTGCATCAAAGGAATTTGATTCAGTCTACTCTGCCAGGGAGACTTCCTCTAAGAAGTGGTTTTTGGCCTGAGATCTGGAAGATCAGTAAGAATGAAGCAAGTAAAGGAGAAAGTGGCATCCAGTGAGGCAGGGGAGTGCGTTTAAGGAAGTGACAGATCATCAGGGGTCGTTGGAGGACACGGAAGGTGTGACAGGTAGCCTGGAGAGGTGGGCAAGGGCCAAACCAGAGGTCCTCAAACTTTTAAAACAGGGGGCCAGTTCACTGTCCCTCAGACCGTTG